TCACCATGCAGACACAACAAAGCAGACAACCGAGGCAATTCCAGAAAAAATTTATGTCCAAAGACTTGTTTGCTTGAAGTACAAATGTCAAGGCACAAAAATTGCTCTAGCAGTTTAGTTTTAAAAGTTAATTTCGAGTTCCTTATTAATTAATTAGAAAAGTTTCCTATCTGCTGTTAGTTGAGACAAAGACACTTTGAGAGTTTGCATATGTACTTTATTTAAAATTGCTATATAATTAATTCTTGACTTAATTTAGAAAACAAAGATTATAACATTCATAAAACTATTATATACTTTATAAGATTTAATCATCTGTTTATTTAATGTCCATGTTATCTCCCAAAGACACAGTTGATTACTCTCCATATCAAGTCCTTATTCATTTGTGTTCATCTCCCCAGCTCCTTGTCTTTCTTGATTACTGAGTCTTATTACTGTTATCTTCTATGCAGCTTTCTGAGACCTCTCAGAAGGGTTAGGTATAGAACATGCTAACAAGACTATAAGTTTGATCTCTACATAGGCCACCTGTTTTACCCTCTTCTTTGTCTGTAGCGTATGCCTTTCCTCTACTAGCTACTCACAAATGAGCCCAGGAGAATATGGAAGGATCTGCACAAATTCATCACCTCTGTGGAAAATAACAATTTAAAGTGGGCTTTATTCTCATGATGATGGATCAGTAGTAATGAGATCATTGTTATCAGGATAAGAAAGAGAGTCTGTCAGAAGAAACCACTTTGGCACCACCCCCTCCACACAGTGTATTAGTCCATTTTCACCTGCTATAAAGATACTATCCAAGACTGGGTAATTTATAAAGGAAAGAGGTTTAATTGACTCACAGTTCCACAGGGCTTGGGAAGCCTCAGGAAACTTACAATCATGGTAGAAGGTGAAGGGGAAGCAGGCACTTTCTTTACAAGGGAGCAGGAAAGAGAAAAGCCAAGGAGAAACTGCCATTTATAAAACCATCAGATTTTGTGAGAACTCACTCACTATCATGAGAATAGTATGGGGGGAAACCACGGCCATGATCCAATCACCTCTCACTGAGTCCCTCCCTTGACACGTGGGGATTATGGGGATTACAACTTGAGAGGAGATTTGGGTGGGGACACAGCTAAACCATATCACCCAGTGACAGTCACATGTAGAAGGCTAGAAAAGAGAATCAAATGAGACTGCCCCTCTCAGTTCTGTTGTCTGATCTGTTTCCTTCTAGGTGATTGACATGGAACATGCTTCATGGCTGGTTTACTGAACTGACAATGACTGAATCTCATATGCTCTAACAGAGCAGCATTCTAGCTATCTGGGGTGGCAGCACCAGAAAAGAGGCCCCAAATGTAACTTCTGCTTTCTAGTGATGACTTATCATTGTGCTTTACATGACTGCCATGACTTGGTTGAAGAAAGCTCTCTCTTGTTTGTATGTGGTGATTATTTGTATGGTGTACTGTAAAACTGTGAGTTTTAAAGTTTCCTTTAAAACTAGTTATATTCCTTTCTGGGCAGGAATTTCTTCAAACTTTCATCTAAAAATTTCCAGCAAGAAATTGATAGAAGAAATTCAGGAAAGAAACAATTATTTGTCATGGAAGAGGATTCTTGTATCTCACCATTACAATTTTTTCCTAGAGAAAGAAAAGTACTGCGCCAAAATTGGAGAAAATGGTCAAGTGCTTTTAAAGCTGTGAAGGTTTGGATGTGAGTGACTGGAAAAAGCTGCCCCTCCCCCATTTTTGTATATTGCTTTTTGATTTTAGCCTGGCCAATGTTAAATTTTCCCTAGGTCAAATTGCCCTCCATTAAAGCAATTTTAACTGAAGCAGAGAACTCAGGTAATAATTTTATCTTTAGCAGAAACTTCTTTTTTTTGAGAGTTAAGTTAGAATTTTATTCTGAAGCCCAGTGACTTCATATGCAAAGGGTACATTATTAATTAAGTATGGAAGTTAATTCTGCATGAACACTTTGCTAAGAATTTTCCAAACTGCAGATTTTAGTCATTTTTGTGGTTGATTTTGTACCTTAATTTCTGTTATGCAAAACAGAGTCATATGATAAAACATACACTGTATATAACCTGGCTGAGAGAAAGTGCTTTTTAGAAAATTAATATGAGGAACGTTTTTATGTTGTGTTTGTCTTTGCATGGTTTGTTGAAGAGAAAAAGAACAAAACCAACAACAAAAAACTCCAAACTTGGGCTGGCCACCAAGGAGCTCAGTAAGATCCTTCGATATTCTACGCTGCACCTTTCTACTGTTGAAAGTCTGTTATAACTGGGCTAGGAATTAGGCAGCTTTTAAATTTGGCAGGTCTCTGGGTTCCATTAAGAACTCTTTTAAATTGTTTTTCACTTGAGCCTGAATTTTAACTACCCCTTGTGGATTTCAATCAGGATTGTTATAGAATTAGGTGAGGATGGAAATTAGATTAACATAAAAAACAATGGAAAAGATACTATGTTAGAAAACGTATGATTCACATATTTAGATTTTACCATAGTCATCAAACCATGAATAATATAGAAATAAGTTATTAACCTGATAAAACATGTCACTGCATACTTTGGAAACATCTAGTAACAATAAAATCACATATAGTTTTATGGCTCTGAAACAAGTTGCGTGCATCACCTGCAGCAGGTTTAATTGAAATAACTAATTAGATAAGAAATAATGAATGAAAATAAATATAAAGTTCTGGGTCAGGTGAGGAAAAGCTGTATATAAAATCTGTATGTTATATTTGTATTAAGGTCTTGTTTTAAGGTATGTGAGAAAGGAAATTGCAAATTAAGTCTGGTACTACGTATACTAAGGGCCCAAGTTTTAAAACTGTACAGTATTGTTTCACATAAAACATTTTGTTTCTCCCAGCTCCCTCCTCTTTCTCCCCAACACACAGCCAATACTGTTTATCTCCTTGGATTGGGTGAATGCAAAATCAGACCCTGGTTAATCCTATTTTCAGAAAAATAATGACTAATTATTAATGTATAGTTAACTTCTCTGGTAAAACACTTACCTATTTAAAAAATCATGTAGTAAAACGGGCTTTTTCATTCATTTTGTGTTCGGTGATACGAATTTTTAACATATTTATGGATTTGGGTTTTCACTGCCACCATCAGGGTATCGAACAGTTCCATCACCCCTAACAACTCCCTGGTGCTGTCCCTCTGAAGTCACATTCTTTCTTCATCTGGAGAATGCTTTTTGAGTTTTTTAGTGGAGATGTGTGTGCCACTGAGACATGTCGTTAACTTGACATGTTCGAAACATGACACTTCCAAACCATTGTAAAAGTGTATTCTCTCTTTTGCTCTCATTTTGGTGTTTGTTCATATGCTAAGTGCTCCTCCCTGAGAGTTCTATACAGTTGACAAATTTCCTCAGAACTAAATGAGATTGAATTGAGTATGATCATCTGACCTAACGGCAGGGCATGCAGAAAAGTTACTGGAGTAGTGTTGCAAATTATAATTCAAGAGATTAACCTGCTAGGAACTAGCAATAGTCAAGGGAAGGGCTTATGAATGGGGAGAGGTTAGACTTAAACCCAGGGAACAGAAAGGGAAAAGAATATTCTAGGCTGAGGAGCTGCATGAGCAAAGTGTGCCGGCTGAGCACAGCAGGTAGCTCTGCATGGCTAATATGAACGATCTATGGAAGGTGATGGTGGAAAAGAAGATCAAAGTATCGATTTTCTTTGGTATACCAGAGTATGGATTTTCTCTAATTGATGGTAGGAGATTGTTGACTTCTTTCCGAGCAGGTAGGAGATTTGATCTGAAATGTGCTTCCAGAAGAATAATTGTATAGGACAAACCCCACTTTGGGGACAAGAATATGTGAGACATCCAGGATCCCAGTGACACCACAACTTTTCTTTAGCTGCTCCTCAGTGAATTTGAGCCAGTTTCGTATCAGAACCTTCTGAGTGTGTGTTATGCTTGGGTATGTAGAAGCATGAAGATTAGATTACACATTGGTCTTAGAACATCCTTGGGTTACTCGTATTAAGTTTAGAATTAAAGAATCCTTCCAGTAGTGTTAAAGGGAAATAACAGGTGGTATTTACCTGATTATTAGAGTCAAGAGTCTAATGTCAAAAGGGGAAAAAACCCAGATCCAGCAGCATTTAAAATTTTTTTTTTATAATAAAATTCCAGTTTAGTTCCACATTAATAACCATCCAGGAAATCCTCAAAATAGTCATTTTGCTCTGAAAGGGGAAAAAATCCAGTTAGATTTGGTTCTGCTCTAGGTAGATTCGAGAGAACTTAGAGAAGAGCCTTGGTTCGAAATTGGGTTAAAAAATGCATTCAGTTCTGGGGCCAGGAAATGAGAATAGTTTTAGTTTTAGATTCGTCATATTATTTGGGTTTTGCTTGGATTAAGAGGACATAGACAAGATGGAGATGCAGACTGTGGTGACTAGATGACATGTCACCTGAGGGGCTGTGCAGGGGTAGTAGTAAAATTTATTTTCTAGATGATTGACCATGGCACTGCATAATATAAATGTTCCACAAGATCACAGTCCTGTATCCAAAGCACAGGGAGGGCAGAGAAGATGCTAACACATGTGGGTGATGCCACAAACAACCATTCCCCTTTTGGGCAAAGAAGACAGTTGATCTTTGTTGTCCCACAGAGGGGAAACTGATTTCAAGAAATCTCTGGAACACATGTTCTGCTCATGTCTCTGAGGACTACCAAGAAGAGTGGCGTCTTGCTTAGGAAAACATTGAGACCCAGGTGTTAGGGTCAAACTGACCTCTTGAAAAGACTACTGCCTTCTTCTGTGTGACCTTAAAACTGTCTCATAAGAGCACCTGAAGCTCCGTCAATCCCAGACATATCCCTTATAGCTCGGTATGATTAAGGAGGCCTTTTTTTCCCCTTTCAGAGCAAAATGACTATTTTGAGGATTTCCTGAATGGCTGAAGGCCAATGTTGTCATTTTGGTTATGCTTTCTACAGACTGAGCACTTCCAGGGATATTCTGCCAATGCGGAGATAGGAGGACAGCAGAGCTCTTTGCAATTGGATTTCTCCATGTCAGTGGGAAACAGAGGATGTCTTCACACACTGAGCGTGTGAGTCTTCCCAAGCTTTGTCACTTGCTCTGCTAGCATGTGTCAAACATGCACAGTGAGATGGTAGGGACTGGTGAAACAAAGGAAGGCTCTCCCAGGAGGGCAGGGGGTGGAGTTAGTAAAGATGCAGGTCTTATACAGCAGCAGACAATGGGACTGTCTCTGCAGGCTGAGTCGTTACAGCTTTGCACTGAGACAGCTCAGTCCACTTCCACACACCTGCCTTTTCTCAGGCACAGGGAGGGAGAGGACCAGCATGCCGGGCTGCACTTGCCCAACGTTGGGTCTGTGCTCCTCCCCTCTCAACAAAGCCCCATGCACCAAGTCAGGCACTGACTCTCTTCCAGGCACTGAGTGAAGGGCTCCATGATCACCCTGTCATTCAATCCCTTACAGTGGGCTCTGCTGTTATCCTCACCATATGGATGGGGAAACAGGCTTAGAGGTGCTAATAACCTGCTCTGGGTCACAGAGATAATACACGTGAAATCCCAATTCAAGTCCAGGTCACAGTTTTGGTTAGAGAACCTTAGCTTGTATCCATTAGAATTATAGGATTAAATTTCCCTATACCTGAAATTGCAGTGAAGTGAGATATTTATTCTGATGACTAAAGTTTTTTTTTCAATTAGAAAAAACTGGCTTGCTCTTTGTGGTCTTTCATGTATCCCTGGGAATTAGGTGCTTGAGGATTAGGTAAACTAATTCTTTCAAATCTGACTGTTTCCTCCTCATCTTTTTCTCCCGTTTTCTCCATAGCACTTTCTTGTCAGCATTTAAGTCTCTGTTCCTTTTGCCTCCCCTGATAGCCTATAGCTTCAGTGGGCACTGAAAATATGCTGTCTCGTAGTGCTACTTCAGGGCTCTTGCAGGAGATGCTATGTGGTAAAGAGAAAGACAGATTAGAGCCGGGTAAGGAGAAGCCAGTGTGCCAAGGTGGAGTTGGGCTGCAGTGTTCAACAGGATGGCCAGGGCAGGCCTCCTTGGGACCATGATATTTGAAGAAAGAATGGAAGAGCAGTAGTGTGTATGTGAGTGTGTGTGTGTGTGTGTGTGTGTGTGTGTGTGATGATATGTCTTAATACCAAACTAGATTGTGAACTCCTCGACAGAGGTCGAGGTATTGTATTGTATGGTATATTACTTGGTAATATTGTATTGTATTGTATATTACTTGGTATTGTATGTGCTGTGTTCATATTAGGCACCCAGGTGTTTTCATTAACCCTAGTGTATATCAGATTTAGTAAATTGCTACCAGGAATAAATTAGGTATGAGTGAATAGTGGGATGATTTGTTTTCCTTTAAGAATCTCTCTCTTTTAACAAATAACATTCTTGTTCTTCTTTCCTCTGGCCATAATGGTAGTATATGCTTACTGTAGAAAACCGTGAAAACTCTACAAACATAAAGAAGAAAATAAAAATCACTCACAATTTCAGCTCTCAGTATAATGACTACCATGCATTTTGGTGCATTTTCTCTCTTTACACACACATACGTGCGCGTGCACACACACACACACACACACACACACACACAAAGTTAAAAAATAGGATCATACTCAGGGATGATATTTAAAATGTTGAATGACCTGTATATCAGAGGCACTGATCCACTGCAACCCTTCAGTGGTTGGATGGTGGGGATGGTCCAGGGACCCTAGAAAATGGGCCAGTGCAGCAGGAGGATGCTGTTTACTAGTACAAGGCCAAGTTGGCCACACCAGCCCATCTGGACTGACCACCAGCCCTGAGTGTACTGTGTACAGTTTTGTACCTTACTTCTTGTCATCTAACAAAACACAATCACAATGCGATTATGAGTCTCTTAACTAAGTTTGTAATATACATATATATTTATATATAATACATATATAAAATAAGAATAATAAAATGAATATTCATTTTATTATTGTTTTTGAGATGGAGTCTTACTCTGTTGCCCAGGCTGGAGTGGAGTGGTGCAATCTCGGTTCACTCCAACCTCTGCCTCCCAGGTTCAAGTGAGTCTCCTGTCTCAGCCTCCTGAGTAGCTGGGACTACAGATGTGTGCCACCATGCCCGGCTAATTTTCTTTTTGTATTTTTAGTAGAGATGGGCTTTCACCGCGTTAGCCAGGATGGTCTCGATCTCCTGACCTTGCAGTCCACCCGCCTCAGCCTCCCAATGTGTGGGATTACAGGCGTGAGCCACCGTGCCCAGCCCCTTACTTCTTTTCATCCAACAAAACACAATCACAATGTGATTACAAGTCTCTTAACTAAGTTTGTAATTTAAAAAATATTTTTATTTTAAATGTTAACTTTCATCATGGGACTATAAGTATCAACTGAAAAAATATCAAAATGCTTTTAATGCCTTTTATCTTGGGCAAAGCGACACAACAGATCCTACGTCTCCAGTGTTCCCTGGCTCCTAGCAGGCTCAAGAGACTTTCTTGCCTCTGCTGAAGCAGTTACTTGGCTTAGTGTGTAGATGTCTGAGTGCCATGAAGTTGAGAGGGAAAGATGACAAGAGCAAAGTAAACAAACATGAAAGGCCATGGATCTTGGTTGATTCCAACAGATGCCGTGTCGTGAAGATGCTCTGAAGGAAGGGTGGTGAAGGGGTCTCCTCACTCTCCTGGGCCCTTCTGGCTAGTGACTGTCTCCTCACTGCTGCTGCTACCAGCGCCCAGTTTGTTGCCTGAAGCCGAAAGCTGAAAGCTCACATAACCTTTTGAAGAGTACTACATAAGTAAATTGAGTTCTCATAATGAAGAATAGCTGAGTAAACAATGTCACACCATGTGGTTCCATGAATTTCCTAAGATTAAAAACATTTGCAGTCACAGAGACAGACATGGGATAGGAAACACAGGTCTATTTTATTATGTGGGTTTTGAAATTAAACCAATTGTTTAGAGCAAAGGCGCTGAAGTTCTGCAGATTAAAATAATGAATTAAATTTATTTATTTAACAAATATTTATTGATCATCCACTCCATGCCAGACACCGAGCCAGGTGCCAAAGACAAGCATGGGTCATAGAGCTTTCATGGTGCTTCCAGGGAAGTTTATTAAATGGAGACAGAGCAGTGATTATGCTTTTCTATATTTCATAAATGTGAATAAGAGTATATAGTTGTTTCTCAAAGAAACATTAATTTTCTTTATTTTAGGGCCTCAGCTGTTTCTGTCTAAGAGAGACTTTACCTTTACCCCCATAATTTCATTCCAGTGTGTTTTAATGAATTTACAGCTAAATAACAGACATTGCAACATATCGTTGTGCTTCAAATCCTCCAAAAGGGGCCACTTTTGATGTGCTGAGACATTTAGAGTTGGAAGGCTGTTTAGGAAATTGATGCAAAGACATGTGCATTATCATATGTGGAGAGAGAATCGAATGGCATCTTGAGAGAAGTGCACACATGCCACGTTAGCCATGCCCCACCCCATGGCGTGAAGAGCTTATGGAACCAAGGGAGATGCTCATCTGGAGCCCACATCTGCTTCTAGACCATATCATGAGGACCCAGAGTTTCAGAATCCCTGGCCCAGGGTCTCTGAGTTCATGACCAGAGCCCATGAGGGCTTCTTCTGTAGGTTTGTCATTTTGAGTGTTGACTGCTATCACTATGAGCTGGTGTGTGCACCCAAGCATACAAGACCCCCTCCAAGCAGGATGCAGATGGGAAAAGGGAAGGTGGCTGGACTACGACTGATGTTAGGTATGGGCCTGCATATAGCTAAGGAAATTTTCTCACTGGTTAAAAAAATGATAAAACAAGGTGATATGTGTGTGTGTGTGTGTGTGTGTGTGTGTGTGTTTCATCTTTTCAGCCTTTCCCATTACTTTCTAGAGTTAACCTCTGAAAATTTAAATGAAAGGGAGGAGACCTTTCATTAAATAGAGGATTCTGCACAGTAATGTATTCTCTACAGTTAAGTAATTCTTTTGGAGGAAAACTAAAGTTGAGCATTTTATTTTGTGCATCATTGTGTTCTTTGAAGCAATGGATTACATCTTAATCCTGTGCACATTCTTAAGATGAAGACTCCATCTGGGAGGACTAACCTTCCACAGAAACGTCTGGGTTACACATGTCTATCCAGTCCTTTGCCAAGTGCTTAATGGAGCATGCAATTGGTGAGATATACTGAGGTCCTCTGGAGAAACCTAAAAGAGAATCAATGGGCTCAGAGCAGCCTGGCATGCACATCGTTTGGGTCCAGCTCCAATCGCTCAAGCCATTTGCTTTAAATAATTACAATTAGACACTCTTCTTTTTATGCTGTTTCTATTTTTAATTCCATTAAGTTTGAAATAATGGAGGATATTTTACTCTGTCAGTTTTACAATTTTCCGTTGGGTTCGTTTCTGTCATTGAAGTTAAAACTAGATAAGAGTTCCAGAATCCTTAAATCAAGAATCTAATGAATCTGTCCTCACACTGGTCTGGAAAATGCAGGAAAATGCACATCCAGTAAATACTTCTTCCCATGCCTTATGGAGTCCTGCAGCCATAATTCATGATGAATTGTCTCGTGCTTTGGGACTGGTTGCAGAATCATGAACTGTCAGAGCTGACAGGGATCTGCGAGTTCATATGGTGTCATTGCCTCATTTCACAGGTGAGGCATGAGGATTTGGAGAGGGGAAATGTTTGTCCAAGGTCACAGAGCAAGTATATGGCAAGCTAGGACCCAGGACTCCATGATGTACTTTTCCATCTTCATTTCAAGGGACTGCAATGAATGATCAGGTGGCTCAAATGGTTTCATTGTTTTTTTTGGTTTGTTTTTGGTCTGAGAAACCCAATACCCTGCCACTCCCCTAAATTTCTATGCTTATAACAAACCATTTTGAGTAAATTAGGAGTTCTTGGCTTATTCCAGCCTTATACCTACACTGTCAATTCTTGTTATTTGTAGTAGTTATGTTCTGTAAGGTTGCCAGAAATATCATTGCTCCTAGAGGAAACATCGGGTTAGGTTCCTGTGAGCCTCTGGTCA